TGTGTTAAATATTTTTAGTGATGTGGCTTCAAAGTTGTGGTTCAGTGTTTGCCCTAAGTGAAGTGATAGATATTGTCATATTCTGTATATCATATGATTATGCAATGATGCTTAAAAACTATTATTTGAACACTATTGTATCCAGCATTATCAATTTGCCTATTCTATTTGTATGTTCAGTTGTACATACATGCTTGAGTGGCATGTTAGATAAGACAGGAATGAATACTGTACTCTACATTCGTGATTTAAAAATTTTTCCCCTCTAAGAGTTCTGCAATGTTTTTATACTATCATACCTCTTATAACGGATGAGATACATTCTTAAGGCTGGTCCACTGAGTAAAATATCCGTTAAAAGAGGCCATTATAACAAGGGGCTTGTGGATATGTGTTCTTGCTCATAGCAAAATTAGTCAAAATGGTAATAATTCCCTTTCTATACTACTATTTTTATAGAGAATATCTGAATAATGATTAAATGCTCAAAAATGGGTTGTAAACATGAGAAAATAGTTGCAGCTACTTAGAAATACCTGTACACGTCATTTTCCACCTCTGTCTCCGTACAAAATGTAAACATTAAGTAGCCAGCAAACCACACTAGCACAACAATAATAAAACAACACAAATGGCTGTTACAAGGTGACACTGTTTAACTTTTAATTTCAATGAAGACTTGTTAATATCAATAATAAATGAAACTAAATACACAGTATTAAGTAACAATCGCCAGTTAATTTTATCGGAACTTGGTTTGTAGTTTACCACCGCTCTCTCATTCCTTCTATGCACCTACTTTTCCGACCTGATGCTTGCCTACCTCAACCTTTCGTATCATTTTTATTTTCATGTCCATAGTAATGACTTCCCTGGGCACCTTGGCTGGTTTACCAAAACACACGCTGGCAGGCCATTTCCCAGACGTAATGGGCATAAAATATTCACAAAACACACTTAGGTAGCAGATTATAATGGTTCTTTTGCACTAATGTTTGAATTATTTTTTCCTGAATGAAACTATAGTTGTTATTATTATACAGTATTTATTAAATTAATAATTTTTTCCTCCGTTAAATGAAATTCCGTTTGCCGAGGCTCCGTTAAAAGAGGTATGATAGTATGTATACAGTTTGAAAAATTGCAATACAGTATAAAGAAAATCCCTTCTAAGCCAGGCTATAGGGAGAGAGGAGGAAGGATTTTTTGGAGTTTCTAGAAAGTGTTTCCTGGGGCATGAAATTTAGCTGTTTTTAGTTACTTTTACCATTTGATAGACATTTATAGTTCCTGTGGCATCCATAATCCATTAAAAAAGAAAAACAAGCACATTGATACACAAAGCCTCAAAGGATTAGTTGTTCAACTTCCCCTTCCCCAACCTCCAAAGGTTGAAGTATAGCAGGTGAAAGGTTGATTACATAGTTGGACTTATAGTGACTGATGTTTCAGGGTGGGTCAAACAAATCTTGTGACATCTGAGTTGGAGATGCACTATTAATTTCAGTATTATCGTATCCTTGTGCATATAGTTAGGCCTTTTGACCACCAATTGCACTCGCCCTGATAATAAGATAGGGATTATTACACACACAAAAGTTGACATTACTGTATACAATCTCTTAGTGTGGTTCATTAAATGAAGGGTCACATACCATCCCCAGAGCAAGCCAGTTCCCACATGAATATGTTAATGTTATGTATGATGACCCATTGTATTGACCAATACAGTACTGTACTTGTTCTAATCAGTAAAAATCTATTTTTTTTTGTGTAGCATATGAATGGACAATGCTATGTTAGGATCTGGAGTATTATTGTGCAAATTTTAATGCAGCAGACTACCATTAATCTGACTTTACTTAACTGAACTAGAAATTTGGTAACTGGCCTGTGGCTGTTCATTTCACGCTAATGTCACATGGTCCCTTTGGACTCTACCCTCAGCAGTCAAAGACACAAGTTTATAGATCAGAACAAATATAGTGTGGTCCACTGGGTTGCAGTACTGTACATGATTGTCATATGCTCACTTGGGATGCAGCTCACTTATGTTGCACACTCAGTCCTTTGTTTATAGATGCTTTACAAATTGTTTACTGTGGCACTGTTTTGAGTATTTTTCATGGTACTGAAGCATGGATGCAGCTGAGTATTGTAAGTGTGTATTGTACTGAAAAATGGTCTTAAAAGATGTTATTTGATATATGGCCACCCTTTCCCCATTTATTGGGTTTAATGGGGGTTAGTGTACAGGCCGTCCTCACTATAGTATATGAAAGGGATGTGTACTGTGCATAATGTTAAAATCTGTTAAGTAAAGTGATATTGATTTTCCTGATTGTGTTTTAAATGGAGGATAATTCATGGGGACTGATTTTGAGGCATCTAATGCAAGCAAAAATACCCAAACTAAATAAAAAACTCAACACAAAATAACTCGATGAGTGCAAAGAGCATCACTGAATGTGTATTCAAATGAATACTTGCCATAAATATTTTAAGACTAACCTTACAAGTAAACTTAGATATCTTGTGGGAGATGATTCTGATTCAATCATTGAGTTTTTAATAACACTCCAGAAATATGTCCTGTATTTCCCTTGCAGAGGGAAATGCACTAGTAAAACAACTAGCCGTACCTCCTCTCAGGAGGGTTGGGCTTGAGTGTAGCTTCAATGTGTAACTCTTATGCAAACTATGCTCAACCCAGACCTTTGACTGACTGACATAAGGACACTCAAATGTCTGTGTCAGCACCTCGGTAATGTTATAAAAAGAATAACCAATTTTTTTTTTAACCTTTGGGTTCTCAATATAACAAAATAGTGGATAGAAATTACCAACAACAGTCACTCAGCATGAAGGAAAGGTCCCTGACTTGATTCTGGGATAAAAAAGAAGAAGAGTATTACCTGTTCAGTGGAGTGGTGTGGTCCAGAGTAGCTTGGGTGGGTGCAGCTTTTGAAATAACATGACAAAAAAAAAAAAAAAATTATCCGCAAAAACACACAGCACATAGTGAAAAGTGTTCACTTATGTAAGTATTTCCTTTATAGTGGGAGTGCATATAGTGAGGACTGCTTGTATTTGAAAATTTTCCTAATTTCCCCCAAAAAAGTATTGACAGACTACATAGGATCCAGTTGATCCACATTTCTGGTTAAGTGAAATTTGGTTTAATTGGGTCTTGCTGGAGTTTTAATATTGGGCTGGTAAAGAACGTAAGGAAAAAGATCAAACATTTTCTTAGTTTACAGTTTATTACAGAATTTGTTTTTCTTTTTATAATTAAAATGTTGTAATCATTTGAAGAAGAATATCATATAGATGTAATTTTCCCTCATACAGTATAAGAAAGTGTTATGCATTGTTTGCCTTTGTGTTAGTAATATAATTTCTGTTTTCATTTATGTCATCAATATTTGACTCCTTTTTTCTGTGATAAAATAATTTTAGCTCTGTTCACTACTTTAGTTGTTCTCTGCCTTAGTATTGTTATTGATGAGGAAGATTTTTTTTTTATTTATAATTTAGGTGTTATTAATGAATATATTATATTTAATTTTACAAAAATGGATAAAATCCATACAAACCCTCAAGTATATGAGCATTATTTAAGCTATAGTTTGTGGTTTGATGTGTCAAACATTACAAAAGTTTCATGTATATATTTTGTAACTTTTGTTCTTTAGAGAAAATCTATTTCATTGACCCCAACATAAGTCAACCATTACTTACGTGATAAAGTTTTGTTATTATTTAGTGTAGGAAACTCTGTTCTTCAATAATGTAGTTTGATTTTGTATTAATAACAACCTCCATCACATTGTCAACAACTTTGTTCTACTGCAACCAACAATTTTGGGGTCATAGGCCAAATGGACTCCGGTTCTATCCGGCCCCAACTTGGCTTGGCTAACCTCACTTGACCATTAGGACTTATGCCCAAGAGGACTGAACCTTAATCCTATTGATATGGGCTGGTTAGGAATTATTAGGACTGGAGGCCAGCTGACTGGCCACCAGGTTTTTTAATATAAACTAATGTATTTAGGCCTTGGTAGTTTTAAAAACAGTTCATGTATGGTATATTTAATACATGGAATTATATCTCATAATCCCTGTGAAAATTTTCAGACAGACACAAATAGTCTTAATGAGACCTTATTTAGAAGACACTTGAGTAAGGTACAATATTATAGGTGAGGCAGTGTTTGCAGGGTTAAAGAAAATAGTAATGATAATGTTGAATAAGATTTGATAAGTCATATATTGTGTTTTATTTTTATTGTCTACATTTTAGTTGAATGTGTGGTGTGATAAGGTTACCAAGGTGTCCAATAACAAGTGAAGTATACCAGACTTAGTTATTCATCACAGAATACTGCTAGGTTTGATAGATCAGTTTGTATGCTTAGGAAGGACACATATAATTAGTTTTTTTTTTTTGGGGTGTTATAAGCTATATACTTCACGTGTCAAAATAAAGTTTCATTCGATGATGGCACACACACACACACACACACACACACACACACACACACACACTCTATTTACTCTTTAATTTATGCACATAAAAGATAGAGTAGTCTCATCCTTAGCTTTTTCTGATGTAAAGCACATGTCCAGCAGGATGTCTTATGTCTGCATCCGTTTTATCTGGTAAGTCTGAAATTAAAACCACTTTCCAAAAATTTATATCTTGATTGACATTAACAGTCTTAAATTGTATATGGTATACAAGCTGTAGCTGAGGGCAGTGTAGTGTAATATTTTGCAAGAGAGACTGGGTTAGGTCATTTATTTAGATAATTTTTCCCACTTACCATTACTTTTAAGTTAGATGGTGCTGCAACTCTCCTAGTGTCTTAAAGCTTGAAAAGCACAGAGCATAGATAAATCATTAATTATTTGACATTTGGGTATTTTTGACAAGTTAATTATGCATCCTTTACATCATGTTGATGAGAGACATCCCCTCTACTTGCCTACCACAGGAATGTCACTCCATCCCCCCTGATCGAGCAGCTGCTGAAACAGTCTCCTAAGAAGAAGAAGCTCAAGCGTCACCCTATCCACCAGAACAAGAATGAAGAGGAGTTGATATTCCACGGGGAGGAGGTGGATGAGGAGCTGTCTCAGGTTCTCGATGACATCTATGCCAAAGCCGGAGAATCATGTGAGTTCATTCATTTCTTGTTTTTTCACGGTAGTTAAGGCTTTTATTATTCCAGTACAGTTGGGTTCTTGACTTGGTGTACAGTGTAATTATTCAAGTTTGTGGATTTTAATTTTTCTCCAATAATATATTCCTTATGCTGTACATACTTCATTCTCAGCTGTTGTTTATGAGAATGTATAATATCTGCATACCACCATATTTGTCACCACTCTTTCCAACTGTGGAGAAAATCAAGCATAACATTATTTATTTTATAATTTATTTTAGATATGGTAGTAATTACATTCTTTACTTAATTTGAAAAGATATAGAAAAAATATAGTGACGAACTGTGTACCCCTCACGCTGAGCCAATATATACTGAAGATTATAGAAGATGCTCCTCCCTTCTCGGTTGCCTCTTACGTGGTACAGTATGCGGTATTTATATTAGATTTATCACCTGCTCTCGGCTCAGTTCCCATTAGCAATACTCCCTTTAATTCTCATCCTTAGAGCCACTACAGGTAATTGAAAAAATTCTCGTCCGGTTCAGTGTTATATTGAAGCATTTACGTTATTTTTTGTCTTGCCGACCCATGGCTTTATGCCTCACAATTTTGTCATCCCTTATGGATATTCTCATTCAGGCTCATCCTCAGTCTTGTTAGTTATGGATACATGTCATTGATCCATTTTTCAGTCATCTCGTTCGTAGATTTCTTGTGTTTTTCCGTGTTGCTCGGGTATTTTTCATTGGCATATACAGTATAATCGATCTGGTATTTTTTTAATGGTCCTTTACTGAGATCAGGCATTAATAGTTGTTTTGTACAGTATTGGCCTACAACTCCGTGTTGTCATTTGTTGATGTTTTGTTATTAATCCATTTTCAGTTTTTCTGTGCGTTGGTTATTGTTATTGGTCATTTCCTTTTAATTTATTTATTTTTCTTGCTTATCAATGATCCACTTGTCTGTCATAATGTTCATTGATGTTAGTGATATTTCCATTTTTAGTCAACATTTTATTGGCTTCTTGTAATATCTGTTAAAATATTGCAATTTGTGCTTATTCTTCTTTCTCAGAGTGTAACTATCCACTTGGCATGAGTGTGTCTACATGTTCAGTTTGATGTTGATTTAGATACGAGTTTATTGCCTTGCTGCCCTGAGTCTGGTAAATAATTCCTAGTTTGTTTAGGATGTGGCTTCATGTCCGCCATGAAACAATTTTCTGTTCAGGACATTGTTGACCTAGATATGCAGATTAAATATAAATGTTATATGTATAAGGCTGTATTAGGAGGCTGTTGATGTTTTTCTCACTGTATCCTACACTGAAGAATACTTAAATCATTAACTTGTTATTGCCAAGTATTTTGCCTACACTGTACATGCAGTCGCTTCGAGTCTGTAGCGAAACTTATTTTCTTTGCAATATATATTTTGGATTAGAGCAATAGCATAATTGGCATGACATCACTTCCGTAGCAGTCGAGTCCACCATACTGACGAAGGGGAGAACAAACCTGTGCTGACTACTCTGCCGCATTAGATCTGACAACTCTGTTTTTATGCACCCGACCGTGGCAGAGCGTACTATGGTATGGCTTTGCCCGTCCGTTGGTCTTCTACTTGTGCACCTGTGTTTCGGTCTGTCTGATAAATTTTTTTATTTTCATTCAAAGGTGTAAGTTTCCTCTGAAAGTATCTATGTTTATTGTATTGTAAGATCATAATATCCTCTACAAACTTTTCCGTCTCGGCATTCAGCTTTGCGGGCAATTGTTGAGTTTATTGTCAGTTTGAACATGCTTCACTCTGTTTCTCTGTTTGGTATTATAATATACTAGAAACTGGTTACTGCTTATAATTTTGAAAAAAAAAATATTCACATTCAAATTCTTTATTAAAAAATACAAGTACAATTTAATGTGTTAAGTGCAGGTTCAGGAATTTCAATTTGATTGGTATTATAAAATTGGTACCCTATCCAAGATGTAAACAGGTGTTTTTGAAAGCTGCTTAACTTAGTTACTTGTGCCTAATAATGTCATCAGCCTGATATTGGTGACTGAGAGATCATGACTATTAAAGGTAACCTGAGATATGTTCAGTAAAAAATTCAGTGATTTATTTTGAATCCTGCATATGAAGGTTGAGGATGTAAGGTGAGTATGTGTGTGTAAAATTTCTGATTGTCTTGTCTGCCTTTCCTACCACTTTTTACATTTGTGTGGCACTTATCTCCTTCACCTTTCTGAAGCCTTTTTTCCCCTTGAGGCAAAACTGAGAGAGGTGTTAAGGTTAAAGATAGATAATTCAGTGGTTATAGAGGGAAAAGAAGTTTAATGAAAGCTGTTGACAGTTCTTTCAGGTAAGATGACACCCGAATGGTTCCATAAACCCTTGAGCCATCCCTTGCTCAAGACGATGGATATATAATTAATACTTATACAAAAATATGTAATTGCACATACACATGATACTTTTAAGGTTTTCGTGGTTACCTTATTGAAATTCTGTTGTGCAGAACATGTGACTTTCTGATTAGCACTGTGTGTGTAAGAAAATATTATTCATATATATTGTTCATTACTGTCATTTATTTTTAAAACTTCCCATTGCCAGCATTATCATCGTCAATGTTTAACGGCCATTTTCCATGCTTCCTTGGGTTAGCTTTGATTACCTAATGACAATTCTCTCTCAGCCTGTTGCATCAGGTTCTTAATTCCAATGTCATTTCTTGCAACCTCTCTCCAAATTATTCTTGCCCTACCCCTAGCTCTCCTCCCCTCCACATTTAGACTGCTGCAACCTTGAGTCAAGTGGTCTCCTCCAGTCTCTACTTACCCAAACCATCTCAGCCTACCTCTGCACAAGACTTGGTCAATACTCTCAATATCCAGCTACCTTCTTAGCTCTCAACTGGGTTTCCTATCTTTCAGTGCCACACTACATATCCACCTCATCATTCTCATTCTAGCCTACTCAAGCCTGCCTGTGTCATCCTTTTTATTCACCATGTTTCACTGCCACAAAATCACACCTCTCAAACTAGTTGCAGGCATCTTTCCTTTCATGTGAGGAAAAGGTACTGTTGTTGTCAATAAAAGCTGCAACTCCTTAAACTTCCTCCATTCACTTCTGACTCTTGCAACTGAGCTAGCTTCAGTAATGCCTCCAGCACTAATCATGTCACCCAGGTAGCAGAACTCCTCAACTCAGTCCAGGGATATATCCCCAGTGAGGAGTTTCTGTAGCCTTTGTCAGGCCTCATGTGTGTGTAGACACACACACACACAAACAAACAAAAACATACAAATAAATAATAATGGGAATATCCTCTCACAAATAAAAAAAAAGATATACTGTACTGTATATTAAAAATGTGAAAGTCTACGCTGAAGTCCGTGCTCTATTAATAAAGTACTGTAATAGAGCGTGGACTTGGGTAGACTGTTACATTTTTAATAAAATTGTTTCTAATTATTGTGAGAGGATTTTCCAATTTATTATTTATTTGTACAGGTACTCCTCGACTTACGACAACCCGGGCATACGACCGCCGTGGTCATATAAAATATTTTTCAAATTACGTATTTTCGAGTCCTGACGTTAGTGATCGAGCTGTGTACTGACAAAATTTTCGTTTGTAATTCCCTTTAAAATGACAGCAAGCGAATAACCGAGAACCGCGAAGTAATAATCCGTGAACTTGGGGGGGGCCCCTGTATAAGCAAAGTAAATTTCAACAATCACAGTCCATGCAACTTTTTTCTTTTTTACTGGGATTAACCCACCCGTGCACAGGTCACTGACCCACATCAGGGCCTGGGGGCGAAAATGTAATAATGATAATTTGTAAGGTCTATTTGGGCTGGAGCACAATCCTGGTGGTTAGGTTAAGTTGGGGCTTATTGAGACTGAGGCTTTTAGGATCATTCACCCTTAATCAAACCCAAGGAATGTTCTTAAGGGTTCAGCATCCTTTGGAGCTATCTCACAGAGGGGGAGGGGTTTATATTTTGTGCATGAATCTTATTGGCCTTTATCTTTTAAAGTTTTGGTCTGTGAATCAGATAGGACAAAATGGATGTCAGCCAGCTTAGCATAGTGATTTCCGTTGATTATTTCCGTTTCTCTTATTACTTTTGGATCCAAGAAACCTGAGAAATGTCTAGCCTTAGATTGTCTCTTGTTAATGTTCAAAGTTCCATATTTATCCACACATGAGTAAGGCCAAAAGAAATCTTGTGTTTATGATAATAGGTTGAAAACTATTATGTGGAGTTGATCAGAGTCTCCCCCCCCCCCCTCCCAACTGCTGTGAATATGGGTCCAGATAGATTGATATTCTTGTGTCCTGTTTACTCATAATATTTACTTGTGTTAATAAAAAGTTATCATTTTTGTTTGTACAGGATCTGAGGATGGAACATTAACCCCTAAAGTACTAACCCCACTGAACATGTAAGCCTTGTCCATGCTGCTTTCCTGGGATATCCTCCCCATTGGCCCTCAGTAACTTCCTGACTGTGATGCTGTGTAGATGCCTCTCGAGCCTCTCTACCTCCCCAGACACCTCACTACCTTCCACCTCGTCTGCTCTTTCACTAGCATTATACTATATAATTTTGTGATTTATAAGTCCCTACTCCTCTTTTTAACCTTGGGGGTGGTACTTGGGAACTGGTTCACTTTTCCGGTCCAATACTGGCATGTACAGGTATTTCTATATTTTTTATTATTCTGTATTTGCACACACCAGAAACTATTGTGTCCTAACGAATAAGTCTGAACATTACCTATATTTTGTTATTTGTACAGTACTGGGTATATACAGTACATACAGGTATATATTTATCCTGGGGGGGGGGCAAAAAGGGTGAAGTGGTTCATCTTTGACAGTCCACTACACCACTTACGTAGCCTATGTGGAACTTTATTTGCATTTCCACTTTTCATTTACTATTTCCTATGAATCCGCAACACGAAAAATTAAGAATAATTTTATGTATTTATTTTTCTTTTGCCTCCGAGGGGGAATACTTTAGAGGCTAAAACAAAGAGCTTTATAGATAGGTTAAAAATATGTATGAAATATCAAATGAAAATTATTAGGTGGCTATAATTTTCTTGGTAGGATAAGTTTACCTAATTGTAAAAATAGTTTTGAAAGAAGTAGGTAACGAATACAGAACTTAACATGCGTAGAAATTTGGATTAGAACTTTTCTGTCTCCTAGTCCTGTGATTTTGTCTCCCATTATTATCTTTACTATTTGCTTATGTGTGTGTGCTAAAATGTATTATCTCTCTTTTCAGATTCTTCTCCAACAGACACAGATTATACCCCAGAAAAACGGAGTTACTCTAGCTTTCCTGGGACATATTCAAAGAAGAAAAAGAAATATGATGGAGAAAGGGGAGGCATCCCATCAGCTATGGCTGGGTCTGGGAGTCTCCTGATTAAGAAAGAGGACATGGCTAACTATGAAAGAGACAGAGAGAGTGGTTTGCAACATGAATTGGGTCAGGTACTGTCTGATATCGAGGGTTTCATGGAAGTGAAGATGGAAAATGGATCTCGAATGTTGAAACCAATAAAGCTTAGTAATGGAAAACCAAGAGCAAACAAAACAAAGGTGCCAAGAACAAATGTAATGAAAGTTCAAAAAGTAAACTATTCAAAATATGCAGGATACAGATTTATGCCCAACCAGAAATTCCAGGCTTCGAATTACCCAGAAACCCCCGAGGACCTGTATGAGAAGTTACGTATGGCAGGAACAACCATCACAAGACCTGTTGGTGTGAGTAATCTTTCTTCAGCCTCAAAGATAGGAGTTCAGAAACCAGGAATGCAAATAAAACAGCAAAGCAATGTCCAAAATCGTCCCATTCACCCCACTGGACCTGCTGGCAGAGGTACAAATCCAGCTTTGTTAAGAATGAAACCAGTATCAGCCCCAGAAGCAATTGCCAGAAAATTTTTACCTTCATCATCGTCTGTTGTGGTGCAATACAAACCCCACGTCAACCCACGAGGTCGACCGGCCAAGATGAAAGTTCCTGGCCAGAGAAATTCAGTGAAGAAAATTAATATTAATGCAAATGCACTAATGAGAACTAACATTCCAAAGTTTGCTGGACAGGGAGGTACTAATGAGGCAACATTCACTGGCTTTGCAAATTCTCCCCATATTCAAAAACAATTTTCCGGCAATATTGGAAAAGTAGCAACAGTTCCAAAGAAGATACATGTTATGCAGAAAGGAACACTTGGAAACTCTGGAGAAATTGTTTGTACCCCAGATGTACTTGGATTGCTTGCGTCTGTTTCAGAAACTGAGAAAGCCATGAAACCAGCATCCTCTCTCAAATCTACTACTCAGGTTTCAGAAATGGTGCAATCAAAAACTCATTGGGAACAACAGCCTCAGACATCCATCCATCCACAACCACAGAAACCTGTCCACAAAACAGTCACGACAACAATTGGTGAACAGGCATCAACGTCTGCAAATGAACCATTAAAATCTGAAGAACCGGCTCAAAAAACTGCAGAAGACCAGATAACAAATCCTTCAATGGAATTTACCCAGCAGGCACAGCAATCTATGGAGAATGGAGAACTGCATCCCACTTCTACAGGAAATAGGTCTCCAAAAGGGCAAACAATGCCTCCCTTGGAACCATTAGAGGAGCCTGTGTCAAATTTGAAGGAGACAGAGGTTCTAAAAGAGGAACAGTTATTGACACCTGAACACAAGCATATGCAGATGCATGTTCCCTTGCAGATTCCAGTACCAACACTCCAACATATTCAGGCACCAACATCTTTTCAGACTCAAACTTCAGCTTCCATGCATATACAGGCATCAGAAGTACCTAATCATATCCAGGTAACAGCACCCATGCATACACAGGTACCAGAAATACCCATTCATACCCAGGTAACAGCACCCATGCATACACAGGTACCAGAAATACCCATTCATACCCAGGTAACAGCATCCATGCATACACAGGTATCAGAAATACCCATTCATATCCAAGTAACAGCACCCATGCATACACAGGCATCAGAAATACCCATTCATACCCAGGTAACAGCACCCATGCATACACAAGCATCAGAAATACCCATTTATACCCAGGTAACAGCACCCATGCATACACAGGCATCAGAAATACCCATTCATTTACAGCCATCACCACACATGATTACAGCTCCCATGCATCCAGCTATTCCTACACAAGAACCAACACCTGTGTATACACAGGCACAGTCAGTTTTGCAGACTCCATTACATTCAATCACTGAAGCACAGACATCACCTGCAATGCAGACGCCACCCTTTACTATGCCTCTCCAGATGCAACCTCCTTCGTCCATGCATGGGCCACCATTGACCTCCATGCTTCCTCAATCTCTGTCACACATGCATTCTTCAATGCTGTCCACAATGCATTCACCCTCACTACCACCTGTACATCCTCAACTTCTGGCGCCAATGGCTGCACACTCGCTGGCACCCATGCATTCACAGTTACATCCCTCCATTCACATGCCACCTCATATGTCTGCAGCATCAGTGCACATGCATCTCCAGACCCCCCCACCACCACACTCATCGCCTCACCATGCAACATCGTCACAGATACCATTCATGCAAACACTGTCCCATATTCCACCCACTGACACCTCAAAGGCAGCATTACAGCGATTTTCTCACAGCCCAGACTCGCAAGCAGTGTCTAGATAAAGGAATTCACCTTCCAATCAAAACCGTACAAATGGATATTAGTCTTAGATATTGTTTGAGGTAGGTAAGTGTATAGACTAATGAATAATACTGTGTATGTCCAGATGAGGGAGTACAGTATTCTGTATTTTTTTTCACTGCTGTTAGGATGGGTTCTCAATTTTAGTATCCTTGTTTTCTAGTGTTCAGTAAATGAGCTATGAAAATATTAATGAATCAGATAAAGTTTAATTGTTTTATGATATTTCTTAGATTTGAAAACATGATATTTATTGGCATGCATAATAGCCAAAGGGCAAGCTACCTCAGTGCATATGTTTTTTTTGTTTTTTTGTTGTTGTAAGGTGACTTACATTTTACATTAGTAGAAATTTAAAATGAGTGACAGCCATTATTAGTGTCATGAAAGTTGAAAACATAACGAGGCACTGGTGGAGCTGGAGATGAATAATGAAATTTGGCCGATGTTTATGTTATTAGACCTGATCTAGCTTATTTAGTTTGTGTTTAGAATTGTGTGAATTTAATATTAGTAGATAATAAAACAATGATAGAATGAGTAGTTTTACACTTCAGAAATTATATTGTCAAAAAGAAATTCATTTTTTATAAAGAAAGTTTTATTAAGGTCCTATGGCAAAGGCATGTGTGGAATAATTTGACATAATCTTCTGCATCTGATCTCATTGCTGGAAGTAGTTATCTAACTCTTACTTGATAACATGCTTTTCATTACTGTTAATAAATCATGTTTTTCAAAATGAACTTAATTTAAAATGACTTGGCATCTCCATATATGCAAATACAGTTGTTCTAAATACATGATTCATCATCTTCAGTAGATCAAATTTTATCAGAAAAAAAATCTTCATTTGGCTTACTGTTCATTATTGACTAGAAATACATTTTATAGTATTATCATTATTAACACTGGTGCAACATTACACCATGATTCTTGGGTAAATGTAATTGATGAACACCCTTCCTCATCCCCCTGTATTTTCATGAACTTGTAAATCTCTTCATTGACTTGTAACTTAACATCATTCGTAATGTACATCTCATTTTTGCTGCCTTTGTTATTTGTATCGTCTCATTACTTTGTATGTAGATTTCTGTTAAGTTCTGCCCCAGATATTTTTTCTTGTGAATTATTGTGATTCTGGTATATAGTATTGAGCAAGGTACATGTTTGAGCTAATTATGTGGTAGCCTAAAAGAACAACTTCTAGAACTCTTCAGCACACATTTCTGTTGCTTCAGTCTCATAAACACATGAAGGTGCATTGCAGATAGTGGAGGAAATGTTTGGTGAAAGTTCTACTCGTGACCACATCAGGCCCCAGAGGAAAGCATGCGTCAAAGATGTAAAAGAATGCTCCACTGGTATACGTGGTGTGACAGCCAGTCTCACAGTAATAGATTCTTTGTGTGTAGAACATCAGTATTTATGATTATTATTTATGTTCTGAACAATCTATTTGATAAACAGTAGATAGAGTATCTTGTACATTGATATTTTACCTGCACTTCTTTAACAGAGGTTAATGTTAAAAGGAACGACCCTGGACCAAATTAAGATATTTTGACTCCTTGTATTTTAGGTGAGCATTCCCCCTTAACTCATTGCTTGCCTATGTCTTATTTCCCCATGAAATTGAATATGTAATGGAAACAGATGTGCACTTGGAAATCTCCTCTCGTTGTGATTTGGGAAAGGCTTGAGTCAAAATATATTTCCTTGGTCGTCCACGGTCATTGTTTACACTATAGTAAAAATGAACTATAATGCACCTAGTGAGTGTAAGTCAAGTGAATTACATGTTTTTTGGTACTTTCATTATATACAAGAGTTTCTCATTATCATAAAATCACATTAGCTACTATCGCTGAATTCACTTTTGCCATACACTCACTCAGTGTCGCGTAGGCTAGTGAATGTAATTTATTGTGTTGACAGACATACTGGCAGAAATATCACCATACCCATAAACCTGTATATAGTGAATCTTGTCACATAATTTCATTAAAGAGATAATCCATTTTATTTAACTCTTGTTCATTTGACCATGGTAGGCAGAGAAACAGAAACTTACATTGTGACTCAGTGAGCATGTGGCAGTTCAATAGACTTTGAGCTATTAACACTGCACAACCCAGAAGTAAGCCAAGAAAGCTTTTCATTCACGTAAAGACTTATACTGTGTAATGAATGGATATGTTAGTAAAAAGAAAACAAAATCTGGTTAAGAGCTGTAAATAAAGTGATGGATTCTTGTTTCATCACTTTTAATTTATTTTTTATTTTATTTTGTTCTGTGGTTTGAAGTCAGGAAAAGATGGCGGATTTACTACATTTCTGAAAAGTTGGATGGCATTAATTTTCTTTGGTAAATGTAAAAAGCTCTTCATGTTTTGTATAAAATGACAAGATTACAGTGTAAGAGAACATTAGTTTGTGCTAGAATGATGAGAATTAGCCCTCATGTTTATTTGACAGCAAGAACACACTTCAGAATCAGTTTTTCATAATAAGTAACTTAAAGAATGTGTTGAATGTTGAACTTGTGAAGTTATTTTTTCAATGAGTAGCACATGAAGTTTTCTGTTTGGGTTTTGCATTATTAAGGCTTTATGCTTTGTTTCTGTTATGGTTTAGAGTTGTTTATGCAATACAGTATAGTTCAAATACCATTTTGTATGTCTAGTCATTGTTTTGTTTCGTTTAGTTTTGTTGGTTCTGGTTTGTTTCACAGTATTGAGTGAAAATATTCTCCTTGGTGTCATAAATAGATTTTGAAATGTTTATATAAATATAAGGTGCAAGACTAAAATTTTTAATATTAATTCCTGTGTCACAAAGAGTATCACCAACAGATGTTTCTCACTGGCAAATTTGAGAATCTGAGTCTCTAGACTATAATTCTTAATGCTGTACTCTGAAAATTTGAAATTCATATCATGGCCAGTTTTCTAGAGAAACGTTATACTATTCCCACTCAGAACAAGAAGCTAAATGTCATTTGCACACTGCTTCATGAAAGCCTATAGAACTTTTTACTCTGCCACCACATATTGTCACAAGTGCCCCACAAGGAAGATGCACCTTTTTCTTACCTAGTTCAATTTCTTATATTAAATATTAATTAGTGTCAATTTACCAACAAAGTACAGTACTGTAGTTTGCATTTACAGTGCTTTTATATTATCAAAATGCTCATAGAATGTTACAGAGCAGTTAAGGACATAACACTACTCCAACTGGCAAAAATAATAGGGAATCCCCAGTCTTTTGCTCTCACTGTCTTTGTAGTTTTATTAATAATAATAATAATTTTTATTCAGCTAAATCAACATACGCTCTCTTTTTTAAAGGTACTTTAACAGGCAATGTTTGGTGGATTTGGCATTCTCTGTAGTGCCAGCAAGGCAGTAGGCTTGTAACACTTGTCTTACCCACTGTTTCTGTGTGAATATCAGTCACACTAGAATATTCCTTTATAGTAGTCCCTTCTTTCCTCACAGCCAAACTGTGGAATGCTTTGGCTTCTTCCGTTTCCATCTTTCTGCAATCTGTCTCCTTTCAAGAAGTTTTTTTTCCGGCATCTTCGTGGTGTAGATTAACATACTCTTTTTCTTTCTTATTTTTTTTCCCGCCCTCCAAGGCCCCATTGTGGGTCAATGACCTGTGTCCGGGTCAGCTAAACCCCCCCCCCCCCAAAAAAGAAGGGTTTATGTTTGATCTGGCATGTGCAGTAAAATGTATAGGGAGGCAAGTATAATGTTTTCAGGCTGTTTTTACCAATCCTCTAAGGTTTTGTATCTTAGGGGACCCAGTTTTTAATTTAATTCTTCTATCCCAGTCTCTACCTTTCCCTGGTCCTCCTACCCTCAACTTTGTTCATTAATTTTTCTGTTATTATCCCTTTATCCTTAATTATATGGCCAAAGTACATTATCTTTTTTTTTTAAGTATCTCTTGAAGTTTTGACTAAATTTATTTTCCTGTCAGTGTTGCTTATTCTTAGCATTTGCCTATACCACCACATTTCAAAGGCTTCCAACCATTTTCTGGTGTCTGCTGAAAGTGTATTTTGTTTTGATTTCTAATGTACATCTACCATCACAGCTATTGTTTCCAAATACTGTACACCAAATTTTCCTCTTGTTTCAAGTTCTCTGTTGCCTACTAAAAAGTTTATTTTTGGATTTATTTCCAAATTGGAAACAATCATTATTTTATTTAGTCATTGCAGCATTTACTCTTGAACCATATTTTTCCGCTTTTTCACTAATCTGTTAACGAGTTTTTGTGATGCCTCTTCACTATTCGTGATAAGAACAGTCCTTCATATCACTTTTAACTTTTCATATTACAAATTCTGTATGTATATTATATAATGTTGCAGATAGAACACTGCCTTGTGTTACTCCCTGACTAGCAGTGAACCAATTAGTAAGTTAATTGTTTTCTAACACTCCAGCCTCCTGTTGCTAGTAAAAGTTGTTTTAAATTTTAATATCCTTCATTAATGCCTATTTTTCCAAGATCTCTATGTAGTTATTGTGCTTTACCTTATCAAAAGCTTTTTCAAAATCAAAGCAGATAAATATTTCTATGGACCTCTAAAGCCCTTTCACTCAAAATTCACAAACCAAATACCCTGTATAGCTTCTTTAGTTTCTTATCCTCTTCTAAATCCATTTTGCTTTTCAGATAACTCGCTTTCTATTATACTATATATTCTACTTAAAATTATGTTTAAGAAAACTTTGTAGGCATGACAAGTTTATTCTAAACTGGGTGCACTCTAAGGCACCTATGAAGTGTATAGTTACATATTTTAGTCAAACATTTTTCCCCATTCTTGCCCATTTATTTTATAAATTCTGCTGGAAGCTGATCAACCCCACAAGCTTTATAATTTTTTCATTTTGCTCACAGCTGCCTCAACTTCTGTTTCCAGAATTGGCATTTCAGTCTTTATTTTATTTTCGTTTCTTACCACCACTCTATCCTTATCATTGTATAATTCTGCTATGTACTTTCCCATCTTTATCATACTTCCGTCTCAAATAGGATCTTATTGTATTAGCTTTTAATAGTTCCACCCCATTTATTTCCCCTTTTCTTGTTCATTTATTTAATCTTTCTGTACATTTCCTTATAATTATGCCTTTCCTCTTTCTTGGACTGTGCATTCCCTTTGAATTTCATTGTTAATTTTTATGCAAGTCATTTTTTCGCAAATTTCTTTGTTTATTGTCGTTAATATTTCATTTATCATCCACTTTCTCTTAGTCTCGCTCCTCCTATAACCTATAAGTTTTCCCCAGTCTCTAACATTACTTCTCTGTAATTATTAGCTTCTTTTCCTGGTTCTTGTTCATCAAGGTCACCCTCCAGTAATACTGAAAATCTATCTTCGGTTTCAATTTCATATTCTATCCCTGCCCCTGTTTTTAGCATATCTAAATCCCATTTGATTTTGTCCATATTTTTTCTTTTTTACCTTTGAAGTTTTAGCTTCACTAAACTCATTACTGGTACATGATCTGCCCCTGGATAGTCTTGGTTCAGGTTATTGAATTTCTGAAACTTTCCTGCATTAAAATGTAATCTATTCTGGAAGTACCTGTACTCGTATATACTTTTCAAATTACCCAGACAGTAAAGGTATACTGTACTACAGTAGTAAACAGTAAGGCAGTTTGACCAAGAATAGCCAACAAAACCATCACAATGAGAAAACTTAATGGATTTACAAACACGACCTTGGATATTTACGGGTGCCAGTGACTGCATAAATTCATTACCACTAGGAGTTATGATTTGAGGAAAAGTCTTACCAAGTCTCAAAAACGAAACTATAAGCAGGTCTTACTCTATAGGAACACACAAACTGTCTGCTCCCTTTTCTTGCTGATACAATATGACAGTGGACGAACAATTCTGATCTCGATTTGTGATTTCTTGACAACCGAATTGAAACTGCTGCTGTACATTGTGTTCATTTCCAAACACATTGGACACGGGCAGATAGGTTTTTTTTTAGTGTACATAGAAATACCTATGACCAGAAAGACAGACCATAGACTCACACAATGGTATAATGTTGATCACATAATCAAAACAGCTTCTTGAATGGCTTCATTAAGTCCTTCCTCCCTCCCCATCATCCCACCTCACCCTTACACCTTCACACTCCTACTCTTATGTCCCTCAACTAACCCTTATACCCTCACACTCCTCCTTCCAACCTCACCCATTCTCTCTGACCCTCACACCCCTCTTCCCACCCTCACACCCTTACTCTCATGATCCTCATGCCTCACCCTTACACCCCGACTCATGATCCTCACCCTTACACCCCTACTCACGATCCTCACCCTTACACCCCTACTCACGATCCTCACCCTTACACCCCTACTCACGATCCTCACCCTTACACCCCTACTCACGATCCTCCCCCTTACACCCCTACTCACGATCCTCACCCTTACACCCCTACTCACGATCCTCACCCTGATCCTCACCCCTTACTACTCTCCCTCACACCCCTACTCACGATCCTCACCCTTACACCCCTACTCACGATCCTCACCCACCCCTACTCCACGATCCTCACCCTTACACCCCTACTCTCATGATCCTCATGCCTCACCCTTACACCCCTACTCACGATCCTCACCCTTACACCCCTACTCACGATCCTCACCCTTACACCCCTACTCACGATCCTCACCCTTACACCCCTACTCACGATCCTCACCCTGCCTCACCCTTACACCCCTACTCACGATCCTCACCCTTACACCCCTACTCACGATCCTCACCCTTCACGATCCTCAACTCACACTACTCACGATCCTCACCCTTACACCCCTACTCACGATCCTCACCCTTACACCCCTACTCTCATGATCCTCATGCCTCACCCTTACACAATCACACTCCTACTCATATGTCCCTCAACTCACCCTTATACCCTCCCAACCTCACACCCCTTCTCTCACATTCTCTTCACCTAGTCTACTCACTGTACC